AATCTTACTTTCGACATTCTTTATTTTTAACCGTTGACCGAAAACGCTCGTCAACAGGATTAAGGTTTGTATTATTGGATTCAACATTGGAATTGTGATTAATTGTAATAAGTCTTCTCTTTATTTTTAATTCGTGTGAATGATTGAATTTAGGGAGATGATGAATTGTGTTGAATTCATGTTGCTTAGCTAATTCCTAGCTAGGGATAGGGGATGAATATTCTTATTTGAATTGTATCTCTCGGGCTTGAATCGTTCATACTTGTGTGAGTTGATTTAATTCAGAATTGATGAAATTTTGCTTATAGTTCGATATAATCGAAGGGTGACACTTCGATCTTTTGATTGGTAACGATTAGATATTGAATTGTTGAGTTTGGTTATGTTGATTCTTTATGACTAGTTGAGTAATCACCTTCTAGTTAAATTAGCGACTTTTTGAACCGAAAGGTGAAAAGTCGTAGACTTAGGCTCGCATGAGGTAGATGATTTCGTAACTGAATAATCTATGTGTTTTAGATTGAAATACGCACTTGTCGATGACTCGTCCCTTGTTACAAAAGTTATTGAGATTGGAATAATAGGCCTGTGTCGTATGCTCGAACTTGTTCGTCTATGTTCAATCCCTTTTTACGAAGAGTTATTGGGAGCGAACCGCTAGATGTATAAGCGAGAGTGTCAATCTCGAACTGAACAATTGATTGCCCGGTTTTGCTGCAACTTGAATTAATTATCCCCGACTCCCTAGCTTCTTCGTTTTCGTGTCATTTTTATTTTTAGGTAGATTATCGTTTTTATATTATTTTTTAGTTGATAATTATTCCCCCTTATTTGATTAGACTGTTTAGGATTTATTTTCTTTTTACGTGTTATCAATGCAAAAGCTAAATTCCGAACCGCCTTCCTCGTGAGATCGACTCGGGGAAAGAATCTTTCGATTCAGTACTCGATAAAAATAATAATTTGTATATAACAGTTTATTTAATAATCATGCTAAAATAAAATGAATAACTGTTCAAAAAATACAACACATTTACAGTATCAAGAAAATCACAAACAATAAATAAATGTCCAGCATCTTTAATTTGTTCCTGCAAACACGATAAAAAAACATTAGTAATTATTATTTAAATATTTCAAAAAAAATATTTTACCCACATACAAACCATATTAGTGAACAATAATTATCAGTCAGCCATGAATTATGCACAGTAAAAGTGTTTTAGGAAGAAATTTAAAATATCCCTTATGTTTAGCCACAAATAAAATCCCAATTCCTAAGAAATAATGCAGACTTTACAATTTTAATTGTATGCAATTAAAATTGCAATATTGTACAACAATATAAATAAGTGTTCTAATTCATTTTATTGCTACATCAAATTGAATATATCAAACCACATTTTCTCTATTATTCTACCAAACTCACCATGCTCACCATGCTCGATGAAAATAAAGAAAAATATATTCTTTTACGTTTGGTTCGTTTTTATAAAAAATGGGATCATGATGATCCTTCTAAAATAAAAAGTTTTGAATTTGTCTTTCATGATTTTGAGGTATACATGATTTTTTACTATGTTTTATTATTTTTTCTTTTTCATAAAATGGATTTAATCTAACATTCTTTTGTACATTATTTATTTGATGATAGGGTGGTCGATTTCATGCTTCTGCCCCCAGAATTTTGCATGAAAAGTTTGAAGACATAAAGTTTGAAGAAGGTCAACTCTATGCCTTAACTTGGTTCAAGAAAGGGAAAGACCACAACAAGTTCAAGACAACAAATACTACAACAACAACAACAACAACAACATATCCACTATATTCCCAACTGGTTGGGATC